GTACCGACTCATAGCCACCCTATGATCCTATGTAAAACAGAACGAAACACTGCCCCATCCTGGGCCATCCTCATAATTGTCACGCTTAAGCCCATTGATGCTGCCACTTGGCCAATCCATCTCGTTGGGGGGTCTTCCTCTTTGTCTCTGACCCTTCACCTTACCAAACATGACATACTTCTCCAGAGTCTGGTCCCTCCTGACAGTATGTCCAAAGTATGAGATGAAGTTTGGCCATCCTGGCCTCCAAAGAGCACTCTGGCTGCAGTTCTTACAACACAGATCTGTTGGTTCTTTTGGCAGCTCATGGTACTTTCAATATTCTCCTCTAACACCATAACTCAAAAGGATCAATTCTTGTACAGTCTTCCTTATTCACTGTCCAGCTTTCGTATGCATATGAGGTTACTGAAAATACCATGGCTTGGGTTAGGTGCACCTAAGTCCTCAAGCTGACATAAGTTATAGAACTGGAAATTACAGGCTTAAGGAGGAAAAGTAACTTTCCCTAAATCACAAACAGCACAGTGGGTAGGCAGAAAGGGTGCACCTTCCCAGCCACAGTCAAACCTTATTCCTGCACTCACAACAACATTAAGACCACACTGGCAGAGACACCCCAAGAAGCCTAGGGTCTCTCATAGACAAACAGGTCTCCCACAACATTCAGGATTTTATTTCCTTCAGAAACTGAAAATAAACTGACATAGTATTAAAGTGTATTTTATTAAAAATAAATGGAGGTTTCTATGGAACAGAAAAACATTGAATGACCAGGGACACAAATATATTGAGGAGAGAGATGTATTTTACAAAGTCCTTTGTCACTAACACTTGGTCCTAAATGTATAAGAGGGCTTCAAAAAACTTTGTGGAAAAATGAAAAGATAATGAATTTTTTGTGCAAACATTTTGAAGCTCCCCTCTTGTAAAATGTGGATTGCTTTGAAAATGTAAATAAGACAGATTATAGATACACTCAACTTTCAGATATTGAGATGAACAGAGAAGGGAGGCAGACAGACAGGGCAGTGAAAGAAAAGAAGGTAACTTCCGAGCAACCACCAAGTATCAGGCACGGAGAGAAACATGTTCTCTGTCATGCTCGCCCTTCAAGATCTCATTACTCCCAGTTTATGGATAAGGAGGCAAAAGCTCAGAGAGGCTGATAAGCTTATACAAAAATGTGGCAGAGTGAGGCACTCAGCCCATGACCCTCTGACTTCAAAGTCCACACCTTCTCCAAACTCACCAGCTCTTCTGAAGAGTTGGTCAAGAGTTAGGTTCTCAGACCTAAAGTATGGGATTCTTTCCCCAGTGTGCTGAGGAGCAGAGTAAGTGTACAGCCCCATAGCTGGGTATCTGGGCACCCCCAGTACTCCTCAATGTCCCCAAGGAAAACGGAGTCCCTCACACACAAAGGGCACTTCCATCTCAAACGATCACTCCTCCGGTTCCTGCCGTCACTTCTTTCTGTCAGCTAAATGAGGCTGTTCCTGAGGTTTTCCAGACAATAATGTCTCTGTTCCTTAAATGTACTTCCTTTTAGCTCTTCCTTAGAGGCATCTCAAATACGAAAACCTAAGCAGGCAACTATTCTCAGCCTGTTTTCCCAATGGACATGCTGACCCATCTTTTCCTGCCTCTCCATGCCTTGCCTGACAGAGAGCTTGCTGCCCATTCGTCCTGTCTGTGACAGGAAGTCGAATGAACAGAACACAGAAGGAGCAGTTTGTGGGAAAGGATGGCAACATGCATCTTCCACCCGCCTAATGTACTCTGAGAGGAGTAATGGTCCTTAGCGTGCCTCCGAGTGAAGATCTGAGAGAGGGAGGGCAAGAGGTGGCAAAATATGCTGATTCAAATATAGTGAGATCCTTTCTGGACAGGAACAAAGGGACGTCACTAAAAATCCACTCAAGGAAATAAATCCTGAGAAAAAGATTCGTTACTATTGGCCCAAGTCTGCATTTATTTTGTTCCAGGATCTACTTTCGAAATATTCAATTTTAATATTTTAAACTCAGAGCGTTTGACAGGAAAAACAACTGACACATCCCCCGAAATTAACTTCTCAGCTTGATTAAAAGATAGGTTTGTTACATCATTTAATTAGCAGAGAGCTAATCAAAGAGCAACGGAGGCCTTGACATACTTTGTTGTTGTTAAATGCTGTTGAGTTGGTTCTGACTCATAGTGACCCTGTATAGGGTTATCAAGGAGTGACTGTTGAGTTTGAACCACTGACCTCTGGGTCCAAACCAACCTTGTGGTAGAGTGCTTATCCTACAGCACCACACCATGACATACTTGAACTTGACCAAATCATTTGTGAATCACAAATGTTGACCCTGAATCAATATGGAATACAGCAGCCCACTCGGGCTGTCTGAATGGAAAGGAACAAAACCCAGGAGATTCTTTTAACACTCTGTTACATCAGAGTAAGCCTGCTGTTGTTGTTGTTGTCAGGTGCCATCGAGTCGGAACCGACTCATAGCGACTCCATGCACAGCAGAACGAAACAATGTTCGATCCTGGGCCAACCTCACCACCGCTGCCACCCCCGAGTCCATCAATGATGCCACCTGGCCGATCCATCTCGCTGGAGGTCTTCCTCTTTTTCTCTGACCCTCCACCCTACCCTCCTACCTTGTAAATAAACAAGAGAAACCTCACTAAACTTGGTTCAGTGCACTCTGAATCTCTGTCCCTTGTCCTCCAATACCTGCCTGCTTCCTGAGGTCCAAATGATGAATTCCTTCAACCTCAGTATCTAAGGACAGCCTGGAAGCTTAATTGTACTGTTTCCTCAGAACACACACAAAAAAAGACAGCATCCATAAGGTAAAGAAAATGGTGGCTATTGTGATGACTTGACAGGTGGTGGAGGTGGAAGGGTCCTACTAGGCTGGCTGGGTGTTTCCAGATTGTCTAATAACAGAATAAACATTGCTCATGGGGACCTGGTAGTGTAGTAGTTATACACTGAGCTGCGAACTGCCCAAGGCCAGAAGTTTGAATCTACCAGCCGCACCTTGGAAAAAGATGGCTTTCTATTCCTGTAAAGATTTACAGCCTCAGAAACCTTCTACAGCATCTCTATAAGCCAGAACCAACTTGACAGTACTTAACAACAATAGGAAGAGTGGCTCAGGCTTTGTTTTTGTTTTTTCTTTTTATAAACATTTCATTGAGGAATAGCATTCATATAATAAAGTACACAAATCTGAAATGTACAGCTTGAATACATTTTATAAAATTAACATACCCACAAAACTACCCCTCATATATAACTAAACATGAACAAATCCTCCAAAGCTCCATGCCCCTTTCCAGTCAGTTGCTCAGTATTCTGAACAACCACCATAACCCCACCCTCACCCCAACAATAAAGAGAAATGCTGGCCAAAATGAAAACATAACAGGCAATCTCAGGGGCACGACCTAATACAGTTCACCAGACAGTCAATGTTCACATTGCCATGGGACAGAATGACTCCCACACTCTGACACATCCTTTATTTAGTCTTAGCCTCAAAGAAAAGATACCTTTAGAAGCAAAGCCATTTCCAAAGCAGCTCCTGTTTGTACAGAGTGAAAAATAGCTGGGAAAGGAAGAAGAGATGAACAGAGATGGTAAAGGTAAGGATCAGTGGTAGACCGTTCTGCCTGACCTGAGCTCCCTCTCTCGGAGACTGTTCTACTCAGTGCCCTACGGCGGGAGGAAGCAATCATGGAGAACATTATAGCCCACCCAGGTCAGTGCCACCTGCCACCTCGGCTGACCAGCGTACTTGCCTCAGTGACGGAAATGGGCCTTCAGTCACAAATTGGAGACTTGTAGTGAGGGTGCTACTTGGTTGTTATTGTTAGGTGCAGCTGAACTGATTTCAACTCCTGGTGACTCTGTGTGACAGACTAGAAGTGCCCCCACACAGTTTTCTAGGCTATAATCTTCATGGGAGCAGATCTTTCTCCTGTAGAGTTACTGGGTGGGTTGGAACCACCAACCATTTGATTAGCAGTTGAGTGCTTAACTGTTGTGCCATCAGGGTTCCTTACTGTGAGGATGATATCTTCCTTTCTCACTAGTACAAGAGGCTTCCAAAACCACCCCCCTTCCAATTACTGAGAAATACTGTGAAGGCAAGTAAAATACAAACAAACAAGCACAGAAAAACTGGAACACACAGTGAACGTGAAACTGCCAGAAAATATCAGGTGGCAATGTGTTAAAATCCCCAAATCTGAGAGTTTAAAGCAGGGGTTGAAAATTCGGGCATCCCAGTGTCAGGTGTTTTAAAGAGCTGGTAGTCATTGTAACACACAGGGGCATCTGGGCCCTGCTGAAAGGGTGCAGGTACTTGGACGTCAGCTGATTGCTGCCTCATGGAGAGCATTGGGTCAAGGCAGCAACAGCTTCTGATTTTCAAGACGAACCAGAAACACACACGTGAAATAGACTTTCCCATTTTTTACATTTTAACAAGGAATTCAGTTTAGCAGAACAGTAATTCTGTGGACCTAAAAGATACACTGATGGGATGGGACTCAGGGTCTGGCAGTGGTGGTCCAGCCCAGGATTCTCAACCTTTGTTCCCCCGCCCCCACTCCCACCTCCCATTACTCTCACTCCCATGGACAGCAGTGGCTCCCTGTGGTCAAGACTGCCAGTAAGGCAAGGAGGCGAAATACTCTCAGGCTGAAAACCACCAACTCCTCCCGCCCATTTTAAACAAACAGATTATAAAACTGAGAAAGAAAAAATGATTTACCAAAGCCACAGCAGTAAATGGTGACACCTTCCGATTCCCATTTCCACCATCCCACTGCCTGCCTGCTTTCCTTGGGGGTAGAGGCCAGAGTCCAGGAGTTATGAGCACAGCTAACAGGAAGCTGGGCCTTATCTCACTGATATGGGAATTCTGTTCACCCCAAATACCCTCCTCGCCCCCTAGCCGCAGGTCTTCTGCCTAGGAAGGTCCCATGCTCCTTACCTGTACATCCAAGTTTTTGCGGGATGAGGCAGGTGTGTTGGCATAGGAACTGATGGAGGAGCTGGTGTTGATGTCATCAGTGCTGAGGTTGTCTATAGTGTCGCTGATCCCGCTGCTGACGGAGCTGCTGTCATCCCAGCTGCCAAGACAAACACATCCTGAGCACCGAAACCACACACTGTTCCAGCTAACAACGCAGACAGATGAGCATTGTCCACTAAAGCCCCTGTCTCATAAACCCCCAGAAAAAGCTCTGTTGCCTGTCTTCCAGGAAATCACCCATCTTTGCTGTTTGGGTGATTAGCAGCTGGGTCAAGTGGCTGGTACTTACTTTTTCTGAACAAATTCTGGTGGCTAAAGACATTGCCCACTTCCCACCTCATCCTCAACCTTGCCAGAGAAACTTCATAGAGGTCCATTGCTACTTGTCAGGGTTTAGCTGCAGAACAGCAGTGGGTTTAGAGCCTATATAGCTCAAAGTGGTCCAAAATAAAGATTCAAAAGCAAGACCCTTGGGGTCAGAATGTAAGACGAGCTGCCGTATGAGCTCTCTGAAAGCCACTCCTGGAATGAAAAGTCACAGGAAGGAAAGCTGCAGAAGTCAGCACAAAGCTGTGAACTCTGTTAGTAGCCCTCTATTAATATCTCAGGCTATATCTAAAATAAGAGTTCTTTGTATCTCAACTCGAAAATACACTGAGCTCACATTCCCCAGATGCTCAAGTCAAATCTCCTCACACTGATTCTTGAGTCTTCTTCTGACAATCTCCTACTCTCTGGTCACCATTACCTGCTCCTGTCACCTCCACTTGCAAAATGTACGAAATGTACATCTCTCTCTGCCTTTACTGCCCTGTTCCGGTCGCTATCCACTCTGCCCAGGTGACTGCAAATAGGCCAGGGGTTTCCATGCTCCTTTTCTACACCCTAAAAATCCATTCTCCCCACAGCCAGAACAATCTTTCTCAAACATGTATCAGATCGTGTCTCTCTCCTGCTATTCTTATCCTTCAGGGGCTTCTCGAAGACTTAAAATCCAAATTCTTGCATTGACCCACAAAGCTGACTGATTGGGCCTCCGTCTCCAGTCCTGTCCTGTCCCCTTGCCTCACTGCTCACGAGGCACTCGTCGTGTGGACCTTCTGCTCCTTCAAAGCCAAGATGTCTTCAGGGCATTGCATTTGCTGTACCTCGACCTGACATCTGTCATTGCCTCCTTCTCCTCTTTTAGATCTTAGCTGAGGTACCAACTCTTCAGAAAGGCCTTCCCTGGACACTCTCCAGTGAACCTCCCCCGACTCCACTACCCATCAGCCTGCATCCTTTTCACTCTATATCCTTTTACGTTGTCTCATTTGTTTGTGGCATGACAAGGCACATTTATAGCAGGCGTACAATAAATACTTGCTGATTTAAACTCATGAAAGTCAGAAGTAGACTCCACTGCCATCACATTGATTCTGACCCTATAGGCCAAAGGACTGCTCCATCGGTTTCTCCATAGGTTTCTGACACCATAAATCTTTATGGGAGCAGACAGTCTCATCTTTCTCCCTCAGAATGGCTGGTAGGTTTGAACCACCAGTCCTGTGCTTAGCAGCCCAATACTCAACCCAGTACAGCACCAGCGTTCCTTGTGAGAAGTAGAGTAGACTATAAAGTAAGTACACACATGACTGTTGCACTGCTCTGGTTAATCAAGTGGAAAGAGATGAGCTTCTCCACAGGTGGACCAACAGGTGAAATGTCTCTGTCTGGAACAAGGTCAGGCAGACCAAGCACTCAGACTTCCCTCTTTACTGTGACCCAGGACAGCTTTCTATTAGTCAGTCCTCAGGACACATCAGAAGACAGCTCGGCCCACCTCCCCAGAAGGAAGCAGAGGCTTGGGACACAAGACACTCCATTCAAGGTCACACAGCCATCAGAAGTAGGAATAGTATCGATACCCTGATCTGTCTGATATGAACTTGTGGGCTTAACCCTGTTCCTTTACCACTGAAGCCTCCACAGGGTGCCTCATGGAAAGGCCTAAGAAATGCCAGGAACCTGAGTATTTCCAAAAGACCAAAGTACCCTCACTACCTCCCAACCCAACCAAAAAAGCTCCCATTCATTCCACCAGCTTGTTAAGAAGCCTGTCCCTAACATCCTGAGCCCTGCTGATCGGACAGGAAGACAAAGGCTTCCTGAAACTTGTTGTCGTCACCCTGGTCTTCAACATTGCTGTTCAGCTTCCTAAACACACATGCAGAGATGTATGGAGGTGGTTCCCAAATAAAAGAGGAAAAGGCAGGAACACATAGGGCTTACTGTGGATAACTGACAAGGTCCAGAGTGTCCCTCAGCTCAGCACCCTTAGCAAATTCACTCACGTGATTCCAGTGCTTTTGTCTAGCTCTAAATCTTACTTTAATAAAGCCATCTCCAAATTCTCCAGCCCACCTGAAACTTTCCCTACTCTGAATTCTTCCATGCAAAGGACCCACGGTCGTCAAGTTGATTCCGATCCATTGTGACCCTATGTAAGATTTCCAATGCTATAAATCTTGACTGGAACAGAAAGTCTTATCTTCTCCTGAGGAGTACCTGGTGGCTTTGAACTGCCGACCTTGCAGTTACCAGTCCAACACGGACTGCTCTAGTGCCAACAGATCTTCTGAATTCCTTCATAGCCCTACACATCTGCATTCCTGTCTACACACTCTTTCAAGCAGTTTCCTAGTCATTTCCTCCACAAACGTGTATCCTATATTCATAATATATGTAGAGACTCTTGCTTGTAGTTGTTAAGTGCTGTTGAGTCAGTTCCGACTCATAGTGAACCTGTACAGGGTTTCTGAGGAGCCTCTGGTGGGTTTGAACCACAGATCATGCAGTTAGTAGCCCAGTACTTGTCCTACAGTACCACACCAGCACTCCTGATAAGGATTAAATTCTTTGAGTCAGGCATCATTGCATGTAACTTTAAATACTTTATTCTTTCCACTCCTCCAAGCATCCCTGGGACAGGGTTTACAGTGTAGAATTCTCTCATTTCAAAGCATGTGCTCATTTCATTCTAGTCTAGATCAAGCTGCCTTTCCCAACAACAATGGCTGCTGTACAAATCAACTACTCAGCAGTTACACGCATTATCACCAATGTTCATATTCACTCCCCCAAACTGCATGATGAGGAAATTTGGGACATGAAAAGTGCTGTTCAACATCACTCTGCAATGGCATGACAGAGTTGGAAGTTCAGCAATATCTGAGGCCCACCTCTTCCCATCACTCTACTTTCACCACCAGTAAGGGATTCTAGTCCCATCTTCTTCTCCTCTCTATTCTCTGATAGGTCACAACTTCTGTGTCTCAGCTTCCTTATGAGTACCATGTGGATGATGCTATCTACATTCTGCAGAGGAAACTGTGGCTTAACAGATGTAAAAGGACTCAAATTTGTTCTCCTAGTTAAAAGAAAATTCCATGAGCCCTTTAACTGCATCTGTTCTCTGGGGTTGAGAATTTAATATAGCTAAAGTTTCCTATAATCCACTGAAGAAGAAAGGAGAGAATGAGGCTGGTAGGGTAGAAGAAGGAACGCTAGTAACAGATGTCCTAGGTTTTCAATTTTTTTTTGCTTTGAAATAGTACACGTTCTTTCCCTACTGACCTTTCAGCAACAGGATGCTATTCCAGAAGGGTCTGGGCCACTAATGTACACAAAATTCTTTCTACATTGGTGACCACAGCATCGTGGGGCTTACTTTGAGTTTACAGTAAGACCTTGTAATCGAGCCAGACCAGAAAGGGATAAGCCACAGTAACCTAACCCTCTGGAGGGCAGATGTGGGGCAAACGAACAGTGAAGATTAAGGGGCAATGAGACTGATGAAAACCTAAGCAGAGCAAATGCTGTCTCCATGTCCCCAGAGCTGTCTGTGTGTAGGTGAAGAAGCTGTCCTCAGACTTAGAAAACCAAGAGGACACTGGGTCTTTTGTGATACTAGCAAGTCTATTTAGACATAAGTTCTAGCTCATTATTTCCTCAAAATCAAGGGTACAAATGGTCATGAGCTACTATGTTTAGGTCCACCAAATTCCAAGACATAGTCAAAGGAAAACTAGTTCTAGGGGATACTCTGTGGTGATGTTGTTGTTAGGTGTAGTGTCGTCAAATTGGTTCTGACTCCTAGCAACCTTGTATAGGGTTTCTGAGGAGCGTGGTTGGTGAGTTCAAACCACCGACCCTGCAATTCAAACTGACCTTGAGATTGAGTGCCTATCCCATGGAGCCACACCAGGATCATGTGACTCTAACAATGGAATATGGAATATGATGCCTCTTCTATCACCTTCTTGTTGTTGGTGAGTCAATATTGACTCACGGTGACTCCAAACAGCTGCATTCAGTTTTCAAGGCTGTGACCTTTCAGAAACGCACCACCAGGCTTGTCTTCGCAGTGCCTCTGGGTGAGTTCAAACTATCAACCTTTCAGGTAGCAGTGGAGCACATACAGTCTGTGCCACCCAGGGACTCCAAAATGGAGCTAAGTAGACTTAATTTCAAAGAAACCCTGATTGTATAGTGGTTATAGCACTCAGCTGCTAACCGAAATTGGCAGTTTGAACCCACCAGTCAGTCGCTCTATAGGTGAAAGCATCTGCTTCTATAAAGATTTACAGACTTGGAAAGCCCCTGTGTGGCAATTCTACTCTTCTATAAGGTAGCGATCAGTCGGAATGAACTCAGCAGCAATAAGTTGGGTTTGAAGTAAGATAACGGGCACATAGCAAGCCCTTACTTTATTGAATGAACGAATATATAAAGTCATAGACAGTGCCTAGCATAGAAGCAGCAGTCAAATGGTCACCTACTGTGTCAGCTGGTGATCTCTTGGTCTTTCCATCTTTCCAATCTTATGTACCCCCACTTTACAGAGGACAAGACTGAGGCTCAGCGAGGTTAAGTTACTTTCCTAGGGTCATACAACGAGTACATTACAGAGTCAGAATTTAAACCTAAATCTGCCTAGTGTGGGGTCTCTGTCTAGATCCAGGAAGGGGTAAAGCACTTAAGAGACAGTTGGCCAGAATTGATTTGCATTGTAGTCTGGAGCTACAAAGAATGGAATGAGGTTTCACCTTTGCCAGG